AAAGGCAAGTAGTGTGCATACATTTTTGGGTTCATATTCATAATAGAGAAGTTGAAGTATTCAAATACTTATGAACTAAAGGCAAGTAGCGCAAATGTTAAAAGGAGGCTAAAGAATTGCCATATGTCAAACATCAGTGGTGATGATTTATTCAACAAACTGGAATTGTTATATAATACAACTAACACAATATTAAATTTCACTTATTCAGTTTCGTGTTTAACGTACATAATATTGTTGATTATTCCCATTAAAACTTAAAAATCTTATTTACGATCTACCATGTATCAAGGGAGATTAAACATTTTGGATTAGATTTCGATTGAGAACGTTTTTATGGAAAATATTGATTATTAAAGTATAATATATGAATTTTCTTATCAAAATGAAAGAAGACTTGATGTCTCAAAAAAGTAATGTGCTACTTTTTATATTCTTTTGGAAAGTTGGTTGTAGTAATTTTAATTTATTATTAATGATTGAAGACTCACATATGGTGCTTAGTACGAAATTTACAAAATATTTGTTATTAACTTTATGTTTTGAATTTAACGGTAGGTAATTTATGTAATAACGTTAACTATATATATATATATATATATATATATATATATATATATATATATATAACCTCAGTTTGATTTTCACACAAGGCCACCAAAATTTCATGGTAGTGCCGGATGATGAGAACTTCCTTACATAATTTAAATTTTTCAACGACGTGACAACAATAACAAGATTTCCACGAGAACATAATAGCATTTCTTATGTTTATCGTGAGAGAGATGGGAAAGAAGAGGCACGGAGGAAATTGTTAAATTAGGGAAGAAGCTTTAATAAAGAGGTGTAGCATTTGTTGGATTAATCGGTTTAGTCAAATGATTCAAAAGTAGTTTTTATATCTAGGTGTATTTTAGGAAAGTTTTGTGTTTTTAGCTTTTTTTACAAGTATTTGTATTAGAGTCAAAGTCTTTTAGTTTAGTATAAATAGGGCTATGTTTAAGTAAAGTTATATTGAGATTTCCAGTAATAATTTCAAGGTTAACAAGTAATTCATCGGTTCTTGGTTTTTCTTATTCTGTATTTAATTCATACCTTGGGAAACAAGGTAATATCAGGTGGTATTACTAACACCTGGTATTAGAGCGAGGTGAAGACGGTGCCGTTTTAAGAGTCGACTTTCGAAGGAGAGGAGCCTTCGGGTGTTGGGTTGCCACTATAGGTGAAGTGGGGTGTTTGGCAGAGGTTTATTTATGCGGGGTGCAACAAACTCATGGTTTGATCGAACAAGAAGGTTCATGACAGTAGGGGCTATTTTGAGACCCTTTTACAGCATAAGAAGAAAACGGTATAGTGTTTTTTAGTCGACCTTTGTCCTGTGGAGACGGGGAGCACCGTACGTGATGAGAGAGGTTACCGGTGATAAACACAGGCAGTCTGTGGCTGTTAGTTATGATCAAAGAATGGTTTGTTACGAGACGTTTTCAACAAGGGGTGCTGCTCTCAGGTTTGAATAGTTCTTGATCAGTTTGTTTGTGATAAGGGGATACCGACATAGGTGCGAAAAGCGGGCGGGAAGGACCCATCAAAGAACGGTGATCGAAACAAAGGAAGAGATTGGAGAAACTACACGGTATGAACATTATGGCATTGGAGTTCAAATCGGATGGCTTTGGATGTGGCCAAGGAAGAGGTCGTTGATCCGGTAAAAGTTGAGATGGTAATGAACTTGTCTAACAGGATGACATGGTATATGTCACATGTGTTGTCAACAATCAAAGGGATTGAGAGAAGACTTTGGATGTGACCGAGGTGAAAGTCGGGTGTCCGGGAATGGTCGAGAATCGAGATGGTTCGAAAAGAAGGTGATTAAACATTGTTATGAACGAGCAGTACGACCAAACCGATTAAGGGGTGATTGTTGGATTAATCAGTTTAATCAAATGATTCAAAAGCAGTTTTTATATTTAGGGATATTTTATGAAAGTTTTGTGTTTTTAGCTTTATTTCCAAGTCTTTGTATTAGAGTCAAAGTCTTTTAGTTTAGTATAAATAGGACTATGTTTAAGTAAATCTATATTG